GGAAAAGCTTAGGGAACTCGGACAACTCTTGACTTCGGAGTCTGGTGGACACATGAGACAAGCTGGTGCACTGGGAATTAGTCTGGATGCCACGTCTGTGCTCGCACTTCTCACCATGGGTAAGATTATTTTCCTCTCTTCTCCTAGCTTTTTCTAAAATCAAAGATCTAGCATAAAATAGACGAATATAATAAAAAAAAGACTCAATTCATCACAATTATAGGTTGACTACCATATGACGAACATTTGACCGTATACCTCGTGTATGGGTACAACAAGAATTAACAAGTGCAAATTTTTTCTTCTTCTACCAAGAAGCCAAAAACAGCTCTTATAGAGTTGATGGATTCGAATGCAAAACTCACCATGGGTAAGATTCTTTTTCTCTCTTCTCCTTAAAAAAAAAACAAACATGTAGCATAAAATATACGAATATAATAAAAAAGAAGACTTAATTCATCACAATTATAGGTTGACTAACATAACGAACATTTGACCATATACCTACGGGTACAACAAGAATAAACAAGTGAACAATTTTTTTTCACGAAGAAGCCAAAAACAACTCTTACAGAATTGATGGATTCGAATGCAAAACTTCACCATGGGGAGGTAAGATTGTTTTTCTCTCTACTTTTCTTTACATCAAACATCTAGCAAAAATCGACGAATATAATAAAAATAAATAAAACTCATTTCATCACAATTACATGAAAAATAAAAATTTGACCATATTTCTCGGGTACAACAAGAATAAACAAGTGCGAATTTTTTTTTACCGATAAGGAGCCAAGAACAGTTCTTACAGAATTGATGGATTCGCATGCAAAATGACATCATGTCAAAAATGATCCCTTATTCAAATTACAGGAGACCGATATAAAATCTCAATGGATTTTATATCGATAATTTCTTCTAAATATCGATATACATGAAACATGAAAAATAAAAATTTGACCATATTTCTCGGGTACAACAAGAATAAACAAGTGCGAATTTTGTTTACCGATAAGGAGCCAAAAACAGTTCTTACAGAATTGATGGATTCGCATGCAAAATGACATGTCAAAAATGATCCCTTATTCAAATTACAGGAGACCGATATAAAATCTCAATGGATTTTATATCGATAATTTCTTCTAAATATCGATATACATGAAACATGAAAAATAAAAATTTGACCACATTTCTCGGGTACAACAAGAATAAACAAGTGCGAATTTTATTTACCGACAAGGAGCCAAAAACAGTTCTTACAGAACTGATGGATTCGCATGCAAAATGACATCATGTCAAAAATGATCCCTAATTCAAATTACAGGAGACCGATATAAAATCTCAACGGATTTTATATCGATAATTTCTTCTAAATACAGTACTAAGGTTTATTTTGAAACATGCCTTATTGAATTCAGAAAGCGGAATAATTAATTTACCGGAAAAGCTCGTTCCAACGAAGATGTTGGGGCCAGGAAAAAAGCTTTTTTCTAGCGTTAAAATCGTTGTAAAGCGATTTGACGAATATAGCATTATTCTTAGTGAGCAGGGACCTGAAAAACGACTTCGTTTTAGCCAATAGTTCAATGTAGTGAGATTCTTTGTAATAACGATGAGAGTCTACTGAATATGCATGTGAATTATCTGGGCTTTGAATAATGTTCAGTTAAAAAGGGGTAATAAATAAGCGAGGTTTAGTTTCAAAAAGTATGTGAACATTGATTTTCAGTTCGTCATTCCGAGACATATTGTATCGCGGAAAATCAGTTCTCTCTCAAAATATGTGTACCTCGTCTATTTTGGTTCTACACTGCATGGCAGAGAAACTTCTGAAATATTTCGGGAATTGTGACAACGCTTCTCATAGAATATCAAGCTAATATTTCAATTTTTGATTCTTGGCGAAGTTGAGGCCCATCTTATAATCGAAGTCTTAAACTCTTATATTCAGGAATTTAAAATTTTCAATTATACAATTACAAGACCAAATTTCGCCGTGCAACTGCTTTCTGCCGTATGCGACTCTTGATGCGCATGAGGAACCGCAGCTTCCGTTTGTGTTCGTTGGAATTCCTAGAGGGAAATTCTCGCTTCTTCCGGTGTCATTTCGCGATCTACAAAGCAGAACGAGAATATTAAATGATAGCCACGAAAGGTGCTGCTACGACGCATGAGAGTAATGCTTCGCTCCGAGTGAATGCCCTGCTAATTGAGCGAATGATTAGGCGAAAATCTCGTCCCGCTCTTCAAGACTCACGAGCTCATGACATGCACTTGTACACCTACATTAGCTCCTAAACGCAACCGTTGTCAATGCCAATAACATGCGTCAGTGTTTTCAAGCTCAAGTGAGGATTAGGATGTCACGATGATTTCATTACGGAGGAATAGCGACAGATTTTGCAGTCGAAGTGAGAATCTAAATTTCGAACCTATCTACCTTACGCGCATGCGTTTTATTTTTAAAGATTACCAAGAAGGATATAAACACGCTAAATTGTTATTTTTATTGTTTACTAACAAAATAAAACGACAGGCAAATACATTGATATTAATGCTCGCATGAGCAAGATACCAAAGACAATGAAACGGAAAATTTTCTCATTTGGAAGATAAACAAGTGTCTTCAAAATAGCCGCGGTGCAACTGGGGCCATAAAGTGGAAAAGTCTTGTACCAATAATTTGAAGAGTTGAACTACCAGATGTGAATGTTTGTGCTTCAAAATTAGGCCCTTCGGGAGATATAAAAATTAAAAATCGGTCTACTCTTTCGTAGTCTATGATGTGTCCTCATCTAGGCAGTCAAGGAAATTACTCTGGAGTATTCTAGTGCAGTATAATGCATTTTTAATATTTTGTGATATGATTCGATACTATATTCGTTAATGTTAATTTTTTCAGCGTCGGTAGATGTTATTTTAATTTGGATATGAATAATCAAAATGGACATCTGCATCTTGGTTCTCTCCCTGTGAATTTTCATTCCTACTTCAGCATTGGGCAATGGATAAAATTGATAGCAGGAACAACATTACATCCGGGTTCTTTTATTTTATATCTATGCTGCCAGAAATTCGTGATACTTTTTGGCAAATTTCCGCCAGTTTTGATTGACAGCTGAAAAGTCCAAATTCACCAATCCGACCGAAGTTCATATGCAATTCAATCTTTTATACACATTTTTTTATCCTGAAAAACAATACAGTATTTTGATTTCGGATCACATAAGAAAGTGAAGTTTGGTAAGAGTGCACACATTTTTTTGTCCGATTTTCCCTGTGAGTTCTGAACTTCTGAATATTTGGACAATGCTTTAAAAATATTAAAAAAATAAAAAGTGAAGTTTAGCATAATTTATTTATGCTCATGTTCATATCTCATCCGAATGGTCCGTATACAGTTCACGACGTCAGCCATCCCTTTCGGCGTTCAGTCCTGTCGAAATTGAAAATTTGAAAAAAAGTTTTTATATATTTTGAATGAAGGTTCAAGTTCATCATAATTTGTTTTTTTTTCTCAGGCGCATATCTCATCCGAATGGTCCTCACAATCCTCCACGTCAGCCAACGATCCCTGTCGGCGTTCAGCCCTGTCGAAATCGAATCCGTGCTTCCGGTCATCTCGAAACACGTGCCGACGAGTCTCGTCGACTGGCTCCTACTTCCCGTGTCCAGTGACGTGAGTGTTAACGAGAAGGAAGGCAGATCCTTTCCCGATGTGTACAAGAATGCCACCAGACGGACCGGTTTCTGGTGGGGCCAATTGAGCAAATTGCCCGGGGAACTGCAGACCACTTGGGATTTGAGCAAACACCAGAAGCCGGAATGTTTGCGCAGGTTCATTTGCCAGCGACTGGCCAAGGTCCCGCCGCATAAGCGTCAGCTGGGCGATGACTTGGTGGTTTGGACCATGTGAGTCCTAATTTCCTTCCCTTTCCCGCGAATAATAAAAGAAAAACTTTCCAAAATAGAAGCCACAAAATATATGGATGAGTGCAATTTTGCGTGAGTAATTTTTCCCTGCGGAGAATTCTTCGAGAATAATGCCCCCAACGCTGTTTTTTTCCTTCAATTTTTATACGCATAAAGGCTAATGACATTCGGATCATCGAATATTATTTTGTTAATGCAACCCCTTTTTCCCGTATGAAAGGCCCGCGGAAACATAGTCTTGAAGGAATATGAAGCGAATAATATTTTTTCATGATTTAGGCAAACCTTTGCTAAAAATTGCATATAAATCAGCGGCGTTTCTTAAGATGATTACGTTTGAGTGATCTTTGATCACGTAACATGCAATTTAACGTGCCATGCCAAAAAAGATCACCAAAATGTGTTGCAGAATCCAATTCACTTTACATATGAGCCAAGCGTTTTTAAAATTTAAAATTGTCCACATTTGATGGTTAATTTTGCAACGGTCAGCGCTGTCTCAAGTAATTGCACAAGATCACAAATGCCAAGTATCGTAGGTAACGCTAAAAATTTTCAAATTGAGTATTTATGAAGGTATGTAGTATTTCAGCCAAGAATGCCTTTGCGACCAAATTCTTCTTGAAATTTTTTGAAAAGCGGGGATTAAACGAATCGCTCTCGTTGACCATTATGAAATGTTCAGGGTCAGCTCAAGTAAATTACAATTATTTTGCAATGATACAGGAGGATTTTCAGCGCTTGGAAGGAGCTCGGAATTTAGTGGAGCAGCTCCTGGCTATTTTTCCGCCATTTCAACTAACGTTTTCCCCTTCAAATTCTTCAGGAGCGGGATTGCTTATTATAATGGCAAACCTGTGAACATTTTCGTCGATGAAATCGACAACAAATTGGCAGCGAACCAAGAGGTGAATTGCGAAGCCTTCAGCGAGGATTGCTCGGAAAGAGAATATCGAGAAGGACTTCAGCGAGATCCATGTTGGAACTTGAGAAGAAAGATAAATTCTGACTTGTGATTTTGTGAAGACAATTCGTGATCGTTGCGTTACTGTTTGTGATCGATGTTTTTTTTTTTTTGCTCGTTAATTTTCTCGCGAGACTGTACGTAAATGATCGGCAAACGTTTATTGTGGACTGATTTGTTTTATGGGGCATGTACAGATTTACCTGTGTTATATATGATGAGTAATAAAAAAGACCTGAGGAGTTGAGATTTCAGGAGAATTCAATCAATTAATAAGTATTGCACTTTTCACGAACTCGGCCTAAATTATTAAAATTAGTTTGAAACGCACCTTTTCGGGAAAATTTCTAAACTCTAAAACAAACAGGGCTCAACCTGGATTTGAAGACTTAGTATCTCATACAGTCGGATAAAATGTATTACTGCTTCTAAGTCCTTTTCCGAACGAAAGTATTTTTTGAAACAAATTATATAATTCTAAAAAATCCTTGATGCAATGCCATGTCCAGTTAAATATGTTGAAAATTAATAATCTTGATTTGAATTGGAAGATGTTAAGTTGCTTAAGCTGGTCATTTTTTAGCTGGAGTAAAATAACCAATCATCTCGATTCAAATATTCAAGCAAGCTAATGTACAGTATATCGACAAAAGATTTCACTTTTCAAGAAATCGCAATGGCAAGGGAATAAGACGTTTAATCATTGAATAAATGCAGTGAATCTATTATTCCCAGAAAAAAAACACAGAAGAATGCTTCGACGGAAGCCGAGAACATTGAGAAAAAGAACGTAAAAATTGAGCTAAAAAATCCTTCGAGCTGCTGATCGGCGAGATAATTGAGATCTTCTTCCCTGTGACGAAGAGCTGATTTCACTGTTTGCAGAATCTGTGTCACAAACTGCGCAGGTGTTCGATTCATGCCGAGAAATTCTGCGTTTGTCTGGTGAGGATCGACATCGTCGAGACGCTTTCATGTCGTGTGTTGTCACACCTCGATGACTAAATAAAATAAAATCAGCAAAAACATATTTGTTCTGTAAATAACTTTTCTGGCAGAAAAAAACGCTGATTTTTTATAACGAACTGATTCAAAGTTGCGACTGATGTTTCCGACGCTGATCCAATCGGTGATGAAGAGTAAGTTTGTCTCGGAAGGTACATGTTGAATATCCTTGGGCGCCTGTTGGCCGAAGTTTACAAGATGATCAATCAAACCTTAGACCTACTACATCGGAATCATTTCAAATTTTAAAATATTCTCGAATTATCGCAAGCCCGAAATGAAAAAAAAAACCTTACGCAAGGCATTAAAATTATGATGTACGAATTATTTCTCTCTCGGCATGCGTTTCAAAGAAATTGGCAATGCTTACGTCATCATTATGATTCCGATATCTCCAGCAGCCATCTTGCTAACGTAAATTGAAGGAATAATGATAAAAGAATCAGAGTAAAGTAGTTCAAAGACCTTAACAAGTTTGTCAAGCGCAGGTCAAGCATCAGACTCCGTTCCGCAAAACCTTTACAAAACTGTGAAAGGTGTTTTTGAATGACAGGATTTTTATTTCCACTTGATATGCTTTTCATAAATATTGCGTCCGGATTTGAGCAACAGCCTAGAAATGAAAATACGCTATTTGCAGTTGAGTTAGTTTGGGATAAAGTTTATCAAAGCAAAATGAACTGCGAATCTTTCAATGCACTTGAAGAAATTCTGAGTTTCACACTGCTGCTTTTGGAATCACCAAAGATTAGGCTGACGTCGCTGGCAAATAAAAAAAAATTTCGATGTTTTCTTACAGCTGTTAATCTATTGTTATTCCATCAACTGTAATTTTCTTTATCCTTTCCATGCGTGCATCAGCATCAAAGTTGAATACAATTACAAGTGTGGCGAACATCTTCACGTATTTGATATTGTCAAAAAAGTATTGAAAAGGAGAAGCCCGAATTTCCCCACATTCGAACTTGTTTTTTTTCAACATACGAGAACAAACTGATGAACACATTTTCCTGTCAGCACGGATGAATACACCGGATTAATTTGGTCTAAGTGGAATTTTTCTGTAAAAAACGGATAAACATTTTGAGATTTCATTCCAACACCTTTAAGATAATGTATTAGTAGCCAATTTCGATGTGTTTCTGTATGTATTCAACCAAAGATTTTAAAAATACCGAAAAAGCTGACTTCTCCAATTTTGCGCAGTAAATCGATGGTCACCCTGAATTTTCTTCAGAATGAAGCATGAGATCCTTTTTCACATGAATAGTAACTTTCCTCTGAATCAGCTTCTTTTACAAATACGACAAAATTTATTTCTCACTCAACCGCTTCGCGTCTATCAGATCTAACGAATATGGCCACGTGTGAATAATTTCCATCGCCTTCCGAAAGCTTCAGGAAATGACAAACAGACTCGATACTCGCTGGAAGACGGCAACAGCGAACACAAGTCTCCAAGCTCCCCTTCATCCCACCCAGTTACAACAATCACTTCATCGCAGTATTCAAAAAAAAAAATCATTCGGGAATAAAATCGGAGCAATACAAAAAAAAAACGGTGCGATCAAAATGCATTCCACGTCAATAAAACAAGTTCGTCAAGCAATTGTAAGACAGTGAAATTTACTAACCTAAATTACAAATCAAAATTGATGACTGGCCTGCTGCTGAACTTGTTCAAGGAAGGCAAAAAAAAATCACATTGTGCTGAGCGGCGAAGTTTTCGTCTCAGCTAATGAAGGCAAAATTTTGCTCACAAAAAAAAAAGAAATAGAAAGTGACAAAGCGAACTTTTTCCATGATTTAAAAATCCTCGATTCCGATCATAGAAAATTTTCCGAAGGGAACACGAAAACCAGAAAATGTCTTTCTGACTCCACAGCACAGCAGCTCACGTAACTCCATTGCGCCAAGTTTTTGGTCCCGGTGTGGTCAGAATAACAGGAGGATAGGATCCACCTTGTGCCATCGGTTCTGCAAAAATAAATCATTCATAAACTCAACATATTGATTTATAAGACTTCGCGAATGTATAATATTGTAACAGAAAATAAAAGGCTCAGTTAATTTTTCCACCAGCGCCGTGATTTTACTTTCTATATTACGTCGGTTTCGCCTAAAATCCCTAAATCGTATGCTGAAACTTTCTCTTTTTCGATCTTTTCGGATATAGATGATCTATTCATGCGAGGCTCAATTTAGCGGGACCCCGACATACGGACGATTTGACTTCGCGACAATTTAAACGGAAAACAGGCCCGAGGTCCAGACAACGTCTAGAGATGCGGACATTTTTCGAAAATCTCTAGAAAATTTTAACAATTTATTTTTTCTAAAGTTTGATATCTTTTGAACAAGTTGAGCTATTTATATCCACGAAAAATAAATTTTTTTTTTACATTATTCTTCAAATTCTAATCTAATTTTTTGCTTCTTTTTTCAACGATTTTTGCATCATTAATACACGGTATAGCTAGATTTGTTCGTGTCATTTGCTTCTTGAATGACGTACTTTTGATAACAAAAAGTCAGATTCTGAGTGGTTTTTTCGGCACAATTAGAGTATTTCCTGTATCTCGAAGTTGAGAAAAGAATGTTATTCAATTTTTGGGGACTTTCTTCCTAATTTTCAATTGACAGAACTAGTTGAATATATACATTCCCATTCAAATTTATGGGAACACATGATTCGGATTACGGACGCTCCGACTTGTGACAAGGTCACGTCCGCATCTCGGGACCCCAATGCAGCAGAGATAAATTGTCTGCCTATACACGCAAGTTTTGTCGTTTTGTCTAAGTGTTGGATTATAGCTTTTGTTATCGTCTTCACGACATCGTTCTTTAGGGAATGAAATATGTTTCGTTTTCCGTTCGCAGATGTCGCTAAAGTATAAAAGCTTGTACAGTATTTCAGACAGGAAACCAGCGCTGATGGTATAATGATGAATTTCCTCAGTTTCAAATTGCTTATGTTTTCGTAACCTTAGAGAATGTGGAACCTGGGGGCTGGGATGGGCATATAAACGGCAAAAGAGGATCTTCTCTGATACACAGAATAAATTCTCACAGCAAAAATATGCCGTGATCGAGATTGAATGTAAATATTGCAATGTATAGTATTGCACTGCGCTGTATAGTTTCTTGCATTCTTGGACAGACATTTACTGGAACATACTCATCATTTCCTCGCGTTCCATCCTCATTCGCCGATCGAAGTCCTTTTCCCGTCGGCATCGATGCACCCTCAGGAACAGGTGGTAGAAGGCGAGGTAGACCACAGCCAACACTGCAGCGGAAACCGAGGCCATTCGAAGTGTGTTCCTCGCTCCGAAAACGCTGATTCCGTATCCACCGAGCAGACTTCCGAGTCCTCGTCCTGAAAACATAGAAATCAAAAATCTTATCAAATATACAAGCAAGAAATACAATTTTTCTGGGGCATTTTGAACCATGCATGCCCTTCTTTCTACGCCCTAATTTAGTATACGAGGTGAGGCTAGTTTTAACCAAGTACAGTACGTCGAAAATTAAGATGGGATTTTTAAAATAAGCTACACTCTTTCATATCATATTATATTGCATATTTTTCAAGCAATATCTTTCAGAAATTTAAAAAAGCGATATAACTTTGATTTTGGATGAATTGTGTAGGTTTAGAGTTGCTTGATACACTCCAACGAATGTTATTACCGGTACGTGTAATTCTTTTCAGTAATAATTGGAAATAAGTTCATGAATCAAAAGAATCAGGCGTCCGTGATGTATAAGAACGCACTCCTCTATTCTCGAATAAAGCGCTTGCGTCATACACACGAGTAAAACAAAGTTTGATGCATCAACGACGTTTTTATAACAGACTTTCGAAGAACAAACTGGCTATATATTGAAAACAAACTGAACAAAACAACAACAAATTGGCTATTGTTATTAAAATATAATGATTTCAATAACTACGATGAAAGCATGACATCATTGTGATGATCGTTTTATTTTTTTCTAAAAAAAAAGCCACAGCACAAGCATTTGTGGAATTTCAAGTGTCAATTAACGAGTGATACTGAAATTACTAACCAACTCCGAAGTGAATGATGGTGACGAGCGCCTGTGTTGTCGCAGTCAGCGATCTCGGAGACTTTTCGTAAGCGTACATCAACGCTGCTGCCCAGGCCAGATGCAGAGTGAACACCTCCAATGCTTCCCAGGGAAGACTCACCCACGGATTCGTGATTGCTGAATAACCTGAACGAATGAAATTGAAGCCATCAAAAATCGGAAATTTTTCCTCTTTTTCAAATGGTCACATAGATGCTTTCTCGAAAAAGAAAGGCTCCTCTGCTGAAGTTATTGACGGAATGTGGCACAGAATTCGGAATTTGAGGGATCGTAACTTCAAAGCTTGATGATTTTCGTTCCTCAAGCATAGATGTCGCCTGAATCTTTCACGTTTCACGGAGCTCAAGTTGCATACTGTACTTATACTTTACAAGGCTATTACAGACTTCATATGTACAATTTACAGTTTTTGTCATTTTTCTCGCCGTTCATCGGTATTAATATTTCCACCAGAAATCCTCTTTGAATAGTTTCATGCTATATTTCAAGCAATTCGTGAAAAAGCGTATTTTCTCAATGATGATTTGATGCGAAGCCTCAAATCCCTTTTTTTTTTACTATTGTACATACAGTATATACAAACGTTTAAACAGGATCTTCTTTGTACGCCTTAATTTAGTACAAGGAGAGGCTACACTAGGCTAGTTTTAATCAAGTACATCGAAAATGAAAATGGGATTTTTTTTAAATAAGCTGCACTCTTCCAGATCATATTATTCAGCCTATTTTTTACGCAATATCCTTCAGAAATTAAAAAAACTATATAAATTTGATTTTGCACAAATGACTCAAGAGGTAATTCACTCGATCCAACGTAAATGTTTTCAGTAGTATAATTGGAAATAAGTTCATGAATCAAAAGGATGCACAAGCATCGCAAAAAAATTGGCATCCACACGATGGTCGCTGCGTGCGATGTTCATGTTTTTCACAAAAATTCAATAGAAATACATCATTGTATAGTGCAGCACTATTTCGCCCATAAAAGCGAACCTTTTTGCTGTTATTCTGCGTCAAAAGATAATTTTTCCACTTCGTCGGAACTAACCAGCGAGTCTCGCAGAATACACAGTCAAAGCAATGATCAGCAAATTGGCGTGTCCGCACACCCTGATGATCGGCTGAATGGCGCAAAACACCGGGATGGCCGGCACGGCGCCCGCGGCAATCGTGGCGCCCAACAGCACCCTCGGGGCCCCCAGGTCCTCCAAATACCAGTAGAGAAACGTCTCCAGTCCACCCCAATACACCCCCAGTGCCAGACACACGCAAAACATGGCCACCAGCTCAATGTTGCCCAGGACTCGGCCCATGTCTTTCCACCAGGACCGACAAAACGGCTCCGCTCCGAACGGCAACACTGCTGCCAACACAGCCGTGATGATCATCAGGGCAGCCAGGGCGTAGAAACACGCGGCAAAGTCCACGAAATTGAACGCCCCCGAGTGGATGTCCATGAGATAGCCGCACAGTGGGGAGAAGAGGGACATGGCAACCAGGCCCCAGACGTGCTGAGAGCCAAAGTGGGCCCTGCTGTTGCTGATGGCAGTGCTGGAGCTGATGCTGCTGGAGTTGAGGTCGGGGACGGAAGACAGGCGGAGGACTGCAGCGTCCAGCAGGGCGACCACAGCTGCTGGGAACAGTTCGGCGAACGTGCGGATGAACAGGTAGAGCCAGAAGGTCCACAGAGGATTGCCCTTGACGTCTTCGCAACTCGGTCTGTCACAACAAGAACAACAGAAAATATAATTTTAAAAACTACTTCACGTTGAAGCTTAAGCTTTCGAAAACAATGCAGTTTCATTCGTTAGTTTGAGTAATCGAGTCAGTGTTCCCCAACCCGTGGTCCGCGCGAACTTTTCTTCAGCATAATACAGTATATTCCTCAAAAGTAGCGATGAACTTTGTTATTTTAAAAGGAAATTTTGGAGTGACAATGGCAGTTGAAATTATCTGATAGAAAAAAAGCTGGCTCTTCTCCCAATAAAGCTTCAGAAAATTTTTCATCTGCTGATATAGATTGAACTATTTTTTTCTTCTGATAATCCTTCCTTCACGCCCATCTTTATAATTTTTTTGAGAATATTCCACTATAGCTGCTTCATTGGTTTTCAATTTAATTTTTGAAACCAAAAAAGTGAAATTTTTAAATATCAGCTTCATTATGAAGTTTTTCAAGCAACACTTTTTTCGAGTCAGCAACAATTTTATGAAACTTTCCAGTCTACAGGAAATGTTTTGGAAATTGGGGAACACTGCTTCAATTTTCAGTATTAATATCAAGAAAGCAGGAAAAACATAATGCACCGTAGATCTGAGTATAGTGAGACCCCGACACACAAATACCCCAAAATAAGGAGGATTTGATTTAAAAACACCTGAAACTAAAAAATGTGCTTTGACCCCAGGGCAATGTCTCACGATTCAAACACTTCCCAATAATTACTGAAAACTATTTATTTATTTTTCAAAATTGTATATCTCTTGAACAAATTGAGCAATGTATATTCACAAAAGTGAAAATAATTTAAAAACTACTTCACGTTGAAGCTTAAGCTTTCGAAAACAATGCAGTTTCATTCGTTAGTTTGAGTAATCGAGTCAGTGTTCCCCAACCCGTGGTCCGCGCGAACTTTTCTTCAGCATAATACAGCATATTCCTCAAAAGTAGCGATGAACTTTGTTATTTTTAAAGGAAATTTTGGAGTGACAATGGCAGTTGAAATTATCTGATAGAAAAAAGCTGGCTCTTCTCCCAATAAAGCTTCAGAAAATTGTTCATCTGCTGATATAGATTGAACTATTTTTTTCTTCTGAGAATCCTTCCTTCACGCCCATCTTTATAATTTTTTTGAGAATATTCCACTATAGCTGCTTCATTGGTTTTCAACTTAATTTTTGAAACCAAAAAACTGAAATTTTTAAATATCAGCTTCATTGTGAAGTTTTTCAAGCAACACTTTTTTCGAGTCAGCAACAATTTTATGAAACTTTCCAGTCTACAGGAAATGTTTTGGAAATTGGGGAACACTGCTTCAATTTTCAGTATTAATATCAAGGAAGCAGGAAAAACATAATGCACCGTAGATCTGAGTATAGTGAGACCCCGACACACAAATACCCCAAAGTAAGGAGGATTTGATTTGAAAACACCTGAAACTAAAAAATGTGCATTGACCCCAGGGCAATGTCTCACGATTCAAACACTTCCCAATAATTACTGAAAACTATTTATTTATTTTTCAAAATTGTATATCTCTTGAACAAATTGAGCAATGTATATTCACAAAAGTGAAAATAGATTTCATTATAGAATTACGCCAATTCATAATCAAAAACATGCTAATTCCGTCCATCATCTGTGCATAGTAAAGCAAGACTTTTCTTTGCTTCTTGAGCTCCTTTCGACCACAAAAATATCAGATTCTGTTCCGTTTTCTCCTGTACCGTTATTTTCTGTATCTCGAAGTTGAGAAAAACAATTGCTACAAAATTTCTTTAGGGGGGGGGGACTTATTCCTAATTTTTGATCAGGAGAACCAATAAAATATGTTTGCAATGAAGTTCATGGGAAAACGAGATCCGAAAAGTGTAAGATCCTACATAGAAACAAGTTCAAGCACCAATTACGTCCGCATGTCGGGGTCCCACTGTTGTAAAATAAACTTCCAGGGACCTCCAAAAACGTCTAAATTTCTCATGAAGATATTGATGCACAAAAATCAAAACATATTTCAGGACTCAAATATTTAATTCCTCAACTCCAATTTTTTTTTCTGGCCTCATCAGAACATTATACAGCCGAATGGCACTTTCCCAAAATAATCTCTACTGAATTTTATTTTTTAAGTGATCTACTATTTTCATTTCGAGTGACATGTTCTAAAGGCTGAGATCAATCAGCCAGGATTCAATCAGACAGAAAAACAAATAATTGGGGAGCATATTTCCAATAATTGTAAGGGAAATTATATAATTTGAATGAATGAACAGAATGCTTTATTTGCTGCTTTTCAGCGTTCACAAGGTTCAATCAAGATTCCCACAACCAAGCCCCCTTCCCACCCAACCCAAATCCACTCAATGACATTTTAATTACTTCAGAGCACGAAAGCACAAATTGATAACAAAAAATAAAAGAAAATACAATACAACATGAAATACAACTGGACACCTGACATGTATGCATACACCCATTCATTCCCTGACATTGGTTAAAAAAATATATGTAAAAATTAATTTAAAGCACAAGGTCTTCAGCTTGTTTCTTTATTAGGTTTAGTTGAATGAACAAATTACAGAGAATCTTTGATGAGAAATCAAATAAAGCCAACAGTTTATCTTGATCCTTTAAGATTTCAGAATATATAATTTCTGATATAATTTCAGAGCGACAGAATGGAGTTCAAATTTTCTTTTTCATTACCTCGACAGCACCCGAGTGCTATTGAAGAACTCGTTGTCAGCCAAAGCCGCAATCCCCGCATACTCCTCAGCCATGCCGTTCTCCACAATTTCCGGAGACTGCGTTCCTGGCACATACACTTCTTCTTCTTCTTCTTCTTCTCCCAGCACTTCTTCCGCACCCGGGTTCCCTTCTTCTTCTCCTTCTGCTGCCTTTTCTTCGTCGTCGCCCGGCCCAAAGATCGGCACGTCAGTATCAGAGGTATGCAGATTCATGGATTTCGGCAAAGAAGCCACTGCGGTCTTGTTGCTGATGCTGGTGGTCTCTCTGCGAGGCCCGTCCGAACCCCGCTGAGCTGCAGCAGCTGCAAGAGGGCTGGTGAAGGCCTTGCCCAGGGGCATGCCTCGGGACAAGAACAGGGTGCGACGCTCGTAGGCAGTGCACCAAGCGATGCAGTTGCTGGGTACGTTTTTGCAGCGCAGAGAAAAGTACTCGCTGCCTTCGTGGATGAAGTGCGTCATTGGGTACAGGCAGTGGCGGGGTTTCATCACGTACCGCGGTAGGTTTGTGGTGAAGATGAATGGATAGTCCTCGCCTTTACTGCTCATCACTCGGCAGGACGAAATCTGTTCAGATTATAAAAACTTGGTACATCAGCAAAAAATAATAATAATAAATTAGCTTGTTCATGGCCAGTGATTTTTGAGGAGGAAGACATCAGTGAGGCCTTCTGTTTTTGTTTCTTTGCTTAACCAGCTTTTTTTAACGTTTCCTTTTCTATTGCAGAATTTGAAAAGAACCCGCTGGGTTTCAGCGGTTTCGTGAAAGTTCTGTGAGACTTTTATTTTCTTTTTTGAAACAGATTTTTTTTAATGTTTCTGAAATTTGCCTGCAACTTTTTCTTTTTTTTTACTGCACAATTATTTTTTGGACCGAAACAGGCGTAGCAACGTTCATTCGATAACCCCTTACATCCCCCAGTGGACACGGCATTAAAATTTTGAAATATGCAAAAACGACTTTGGAACGTTTACAGCTGAATGCTTTTCCAGGCTCTACTTTAAAAATGAATTTTGTTAATTGAAAGTGCGTATCAGCATATCCCGCAGGTGAATCTGTCTTCATTTTTGAGGCAAGAAAATTGAAGATGCATCTGGAAATCGATGAAGTTCTCGAGTGAATGTGGAACAATAAATGTAATAAATATTTTGACGCAGTACAGTAATTCCTTTAATACATTAGTAAATGTTTTACAACTCTTTTTTTAATTTAAAAAATCCCTGCACGTTGTGCCAAGGAATTACGTTTCTAGATACGACAAAGAAATGTATTTCATGGAAAAATCTCACACATTTTTGCAGTCAAAATCGTTTTCCTTCTCGGGACATGAAAATTGTCGGACCGTCATATCTTGCAATCGACAACATCTTCCATTCGCGTAAAATACCGTATGTACAGCGTTTTTAAAATTTTTAAAAATGAATTCAAAACATTCCTTTTTTGAACATTTCCCACTATATACAGCAATCGTGTCAACACAACTCACCGCTCTTGAACTTGCCGCACTTGGAACTCGCTGCACCCCTTATGACTTGCCGCTGTCATAACTTGCCGCAGAAATAACTTGCCGCTGTCATTTCTTGCCGCACAGGCAACCTGCCGCTGCTACAACTTGCCAGGGTGTTTCCATGAATAGTTAACCTCTCATGTTTTGTGAACTCTCAAATATGCTGCTGCATTAAATTCAATTGCGGCAACTTGTATCAGCGGCAAGTTATTTCTGCGGTGAGTTGGGCTTGCAGCAGGTTGTCACAGCGGCAAGTGATGACAGCGGCGAGTGATGACAGCGGCAACTGTTGGTGCGGCAAGCACAGCTGCGGCAAGTGAAGGTGCGGTGAGTTGTGCCGGAGCACACAAGGTAACAGGACTTACCTTTCCAGAGGCGTCCACGGAACACAAGTTCGGAGAGATGTCGGCCTTGGACTCCAAACTCCTCGGCCCGGCGTCGGACAGCATGAGCGCATACGAGTCCTTAGTGCCGACACTGCGACGCAAGGTGGCGTTGGGGCACTTGACGACGCAGTCGCGAACGGCGACTTCGATGACTCTGTTGTCGTCCTTGTGGATGCAGGCTTCGGTGTCCGAGCAGCGCTCCGCCACCAGGGCGCCGGCGTCCCGGGAACAAGTGAAACTGAGCTCTGGCGGTCGCGGCGAGAGCCTCTGGGTCTCCGGCACGAAGAGCAGGCCAGCGTAGGCGAGTGCAGTCATGATTAGGCAACACACCATCACCGGCTTGTACCTGCATGAGTGCGATGAAGGAAAAAAAATTTAAATGAGGGTCTGTTGCGAGTATTTTCCTCCTACTGTACATTTCTAAAATAAATAAATACTGTTTTAACATGAACGAATACTCGCACAGAACGAAATTACCGTACAGTGAGGTTTTGGGTAACAAACGACCTGGTTAGCAAACTATTTGTATAACCAACTTTACGTCTCGGCCTCGGCTGTGTCTTGGATAAAAAACCATGACTTGTTTTACAAACTTTGATTTCAAAGGCAGGCGTCCCACCAAAATACCCACCCCCTCGGGTCTGAAATTGGCACCATTTATTTCCCAATAGATATTTCTTGCTCTTCTATATACAGGATTAAAGTTGGAATTACAAAAATGAAATTGTTCTTGCAAGATTTGGACTTTTATTTTAACATTTCTGTTTTGTTTCTTCAAAGTTATTTCTTGATAGGTCTCTCAGTCTGCTTCCAACTGAAGAAAATTGGGCTCAGTGCTGATAAAAGGTGAACAGAAAGGCAGAGTGGATGAATTGTGGGATTGAAAGGATTGACGAAGAGGTCCGAATACATTTACTGAATGAACTTTTTGTGTAAAAAGAGTTGATTCCACCTACCCTCTCTGGCATCCTTTTAAGGCTCCTGTTTTAAACACTTCTCCGAGCTTCTCTTAATGAAAGTTCTTGGATTTTAGGCCCATTAAAATTTTTACATAAACATTTTATCCTTTTTTATGTACACTTTCAAAGTTCTGGAACCAATTAAAAACTTACTTTCTTAAAGGAAAATGTCATTTGGTCAACAAACTACAGTATTCGGGTAACAAACTTTGCGTAGGAGCGGATTAATAAGTTCAGAAACCAAGACCCAATGTATGAATTCAAGTACAGTACTATAGACGCGCACCTTTTTCTGAAAAATCAAGGCAGAAAAGAGGGGGAAAGGGTTGCATGCGGGAATAAATTTTTTGGGGCAAAATATATATAAAATGAGTGTGCGGGCCATGAACCATTCACTGTAGGTAAAATGATGAACTGGGAATTGTCTCTACTCCAATCACGTTAAATGAATGTTACTGTATTATATTTGTACAGGAATTTTTGTTTAAAATTTTTATGTAGATCAAAAATTGATTTTCAAACATATCAAAAAGTGGGGTGCGCGCCTTATGCAGGGATAAATTTTAGGGCAAACTCTACAAAAAACTAAATGAAAAACCGAGGTGTACGTATTACATGAGGACAAGTGGTACACGAATAAAAACGGTATGCCACGACAATTTAAAAAAAGGAAGCGACCCGATTCATCTATACTAATTATTGATCATGGCTGCACCCTTTAGCAGCCATGAGCAATTGTGGGTAATTCAGTTGACCCATGCTTAGGTTTAACTTCAAACATCAAGAATGAACACGAGAATTTTAGTCAAATTCAAGCATTACATCTACAGCTTCGAATGGTCTCCTTTGGATTACAATTCAAAGGTAAGCTTGAATGTTCCTCTACAAATGAAAAATATATTTTTTGCAGAATATATTTAAATTCGCTTTGCATTTGACGATAGAAAAACTTGAGAAAGTTGCAATCCTATCTTACTTTTATGGGTTTGAGAACAATGCGCTGATTTATTCATCCATAAACCGGGAATTTCTCAATGCTGGTGTTTTTATTCCCGTACTGCAATTGTCCGTTCCAGTCTTATACAAAAGATCTACAATAAAATGCAGATGCTTGTTGTGTAGAGAAGTTGAAGTTCAAGCATGTTTTACGAACCTCAAGTACTGAAAGAAGCTGCATGCGTGTTTCATCGCGTTCGGTACATAAATTTTTCGAAACTCAAGGGATTGATGCAGAAACGGAGCGTAGGCTTTTATTTCCCATAAAATAAAATGAAATTATATAAAATGGCACAGGCCAACGAAGAGCAAAAAAACCGAAGTCCTGCAGAGTAAGATGGAAGAATTACTGCAAAACCTTTCAAGAAAACAAGCGTTTCCAAACCAAGATTCAATGCATATTATTATACATTCAGTACTAAAAAATGCATGTAAAACGTAGGCATGTGCAACAATGAGCGAACAGAGATATCACAGTTGAATTATCATTGAAATAATTGCCGATGCCTCTATATAAAGATGGGCTGGAATCTGTAATAAAAAAAAGTCGCGAATAATGAAGAATCGAAAAAATAATCAATAATTAAAATGTCTTCAGTGATGACACAATGTGTTGTCAAAACATTTTCAAAGAAGCAACTCATTCCCTGAACACGAAATTTTCTGAATGACGTTTGAGAAGTAATTTAAACATCTTCTCATTATAACATACAGTACTGTACTTTTTATCGTTGAAAAGGTTTTTAAACTTTCAGATGCTCCTCACGTTGACCTAATTTATATTTGCATTTTCTACATGACATTCTACATGTCTATGTGTTGGAAATAAATCGGCTGAAATTGATTTCCTTCATACCACTTCATTTCCTCGAACGAACCTGATATTTGGGCGCATTAAACAAATGAATCCCAGTCACCTAGGTTATATTTGCTCCACGTGAGTACAAACACTACAAAGCAACGTATACTTTTAAAATTGCTACCGGTATTTAGCCAGCTGTGATGCACCCGACATCCTGAAAGACCTGTGGTCACCAAAATCCCCGCAACACCTGTTCTCATGGCAAATTTTTCAACACTATACCTTCTTTTCTGGTGGTCACAGACACACCATTATCAGTGCGATGGACTAGGCCAAGCAACACAGAAATAAATTGTTCGGTGAGATAAAAAAAATATATATATATTCGTCGACTGCAAGGGTAATCGGTACAGAGGCTTATTTTATGTCTAATATATTGTTGTTCTGCCATACCTGCCAATCTTGTCTGCGATTACCCCAGCAATCGGTGGTCCCAGAAGGCACAAGAACGGCAAGACGAAGTTGATGAACGCTGTCTCCTGGACGTTGAACCCGAGACTTTTCATGTGTATCGTCAGAAACGGTAAAACGCATCCCAGACCTGGAGGAAGAAACAAATTAGCACCTTCATTAGTCGAATGAATGAAAATTATAACCCGTTCCATTGATGAACACTTCAGAACTGCTTCATCACTTCGAAGGATTCATTGATAGAGAGTAGTTCTACGGACGCCCACGATTTCCGCGTCTGAGTTCCCAGGCTTAATCGATCAATCAAGGCAAGATAATTCCAGTTTTATCCACTTTTTTTTTTCTGAATAGGAACGAGGAATGTGGACATCAAAGGTCAAGATCAGCAGACCGCAGGACTGTTTTTTTTAAAGAACAGCTGGCATTTATCATCAAATCCGTCTCAATTTCTTCCAGGCTGGAATTCCAGCGCGTGCTTTAGAAAATGACGGAGCTGAATGATTATCTGAGATCCGACGCCATGTTTTACAGCATGAGAGAATCGATTCAAGAGACTTTTTCTTACACGGTCTCCAAAAATAAAAACTAATAAAGTTCCCCAAACATCAACTTCACCCAGTTAAAGGAAAGTACAGTACTATATTTATGTGATTATGGGCCTTTTCCCGATTTCAAGTATCAATTTGATGCAGAAATCCCCATGATTTGCACAAAACCTGAATATTCTAGAGGGGAAATGGGACTACTTTGCGCATAAAACAGCGCTTGCGTGAGACAAAAATTTCATGAAAATTTTACTGGTATAAATATTACACTGACTTGATCAAAAATGCATGCGATAGTTGAATAACCCAAGAAAACACCAGGAAACCCTCTGAGGAAAAAAAATCCACCTGGGTTCTTTTTCTCCAGTTGAATTTTTGTCTGCCTTCTTTGATTTTTTATCACGTATACAGTATTCAGTGAATAACCTAAAGGAAGCGCCAAAGCCTTGCAGTTATTATTATTTTTTTGTTGGAAGAAGCAAAGTTGAGTTCATAATCACACATATTTCCCAAGCGTTCAGAAATACGAAAATCACGGCAGTCTGCTGTCATGTGGTTGACTGATTGAAAGGCGAAGCATAATCGAACGTTGGATAAATCATGCGTACAAGACTCCGAGATAATAACGAAGTACGAAAGGACGAAACGCAGGAATTATAGTAGCCGAAACAAGCTAATGATTCAAATGCGTGACCGGATTCAGTTTTCTTTCGATGAAGCTGGAAATTCCGAAGCATGTTTTTTCCCCGACAAACCTTGTCTGTCAAAAAAGCGCGTCGGAGCCAGACCACGAAATGAATAAGGCGTTTGCAGTTATACATATTCGTGATCCCGGTCGACAGAAATAGCGTGATCTCGGGGAGTGTCCACCGGGATTATCCTTAATAGCCGTTATTACTCGTTCCCGCGATGATGGATGGTAATCGGCGGAAACTAGCGGTAGCCACTGGGCTGATCTTTTTTTTTTCAAGCGAAATTTGCTTGGTCATTTGCAGTCCGAGACTTCGAAAGGAACCGTCGTTCGTGGAATACGGCCAAAATTCTAGTCCGAGCTGCTTTCATATTTTTATTATTTTCGGGCAAACTTTGGATGTATGGGGTCGACAGAGAAAATTGGTCCTCCACGTGGGGTCGAGACCATACTTGTACGTGGGAGAGGCTCTTGAGGTATTTCACAGGTCATGTAAGACGTGTTTCAGAGCTAATTGCTCCCGAAATTAGTCCCTGAACGCTCCGTTTTCAATTCCCGCTCTTTTCCGACGTTTGTTTAGAGTGTTGGATTTCACAAAGTGGACGAAATGCGTAGATTGTTTCTATATTTTTTAGGAAAGAAGACACACTTCAGTCTCAGCAGCGCTTTCGAAAATTCTAGAGGCTTGCCGAATATATTTCTGGGTAAGAATAATCCATTCCAAATTCCTCAACCAAATTCGAATTTCTCTCCTCCTCACCGTCTGAAAGACTTTAATTGATTCTTACATTTCAATTTAAATGAAACCAGTACGAGACTGATAACAAAGATTGATTTCCAAATTTGATGTCCTCTCTGTTGTAACTTAGAGGACTACGAATTATCAAACTGAAGCGCCGAATTTTCAGTGAATTATCTCGCATTTGAAGTTCAACCATTGTTTTTCAGCTAGAATTTAACCCGCTTTTTCGGCGTCTTCGGGGTCAGTCTTATTACTCTTATCCAATGACATTAGCTCCAAGTTTTTTTGTTTTTTTGTGCGAATTAATATAAAAGCAAAGATGAATCCAGGTTAATGTTTTGCAGATGTTCCCGACGTCAAAGGGCAAACTTCAGAAAGAACTTGACGAATGTTTTTCCTCCGCGGGAGGCGAAGAAATTAGGCCTTGATAATTTGTCAATAGAATTTTCCCAGGTATTCCTCAAGAAAAATTGTTCACATGAATAAAGATGCATTAATTTCACGAAGTTCTTTTATTTCACTTTTGATGACCAGCTAGAAACCCAGCCCTGGGTTGCGGAACCTAAATCCAGCAACCGTCGACGAAAAAATAAATAAATTGTAATCTCACGCCCCTGTGACCTTCGGGGTCACGCACATCATTCGTGAACCCAGCCCAGGAAAAAATGTGCAGCTGACTCACCTCCGTAGAAAGAAAAGATGAGGACCTTCAGAGGAATGAGGTTCACGTTGATACACGGGGAGCAGCCCATCTTGAGAACTCAGCCAGCAGCAAATATACAAGCTGCTGAGGATTCCAACCTCTTCAAAACGTCTCCTTCTCGACAAGTGTCCTCCACAATCCGATTGTTTTCACATTCCTGTACGCGCTTTTTTTTTTTTCTTTTTCACTCACGCCCCGTCAGAAGCGATCCAACGGGAAACTTGCCGACCACAGTTGCCATCATGCTTTCTTCGGCATCACTCTCTACAAAAAGCCGACGTTTTCACTTTCGACAACGCGATCAACAGAAAAATAAATGGTTTTCCTGATTTTACAAAAAAAAGTTCTTCCGGCACTTATTGCGTTTCCTGCAAAAAAATAATGACAGCGATGAAAATCCAGTTCCAAGATCGCCATTTTTGTGAACTGCTCTGGAAAGAACACCTACACATTCGATAAACGTCGCTCCATACGTTCAAATAGAATCCCGACCTCGTAAAAAAAAAAAACGCCCACTGGAAAATGAGTCCTTTGTACAAGGCAATCAATTGCTCCGATAAGGTCATCATTGATCTACGATAATAGGGATTTTGGAATTTCCGCTGATCTTCCTTTGTCTTAGAAAGTCACTTTAGTTCTTTCGGAATTCATCAGGACTCGTCCAAGTTTTTTTTTTTTTTTTATCCAGGAAAATAAATCACTTCCTAAATGTACGGCACACGTTCCATTCATGAATCTTTTTTTAAACATGAAAAATCAGACTTGCCCAAATGTATCTGCCCTGCCATTTTATCGGTCTTCATGCCATTATTATTTTTTAATTACTCGATCAGCTTCAAATAAAAACGGACTTGATGAACTTTCACGATGCCTCGGGTATCGAGCCTTTTTTTTTTAAAGGAAAAATATACGGTGATCAACTGCTGATGAATGCTTCACCAATGCAGTACCGATTTTGTGGCTTCTTCAACAGATGGAAAGCCAAATCAGGCTAATTTTCGCACAAATCTTCCTTCAATTTTCCTTCATATGTTTTTAAATGCGCATAAATGTTCGCATTGATCTCATTAGCTGTAATTTCGACCTACTGCACGGCATTTTTGGATGAATAAAAACTTTCCAAAATCTCAATGGAAAACTGCTTAAAACTGATTTAAAATTCAGTTAAAATATCGTTAAAATCATTACATGCACGAATTCTTGCGACGAAAAGTTCAATTAATGCAAGTCCTCGAAGATCAGCAAACTTCAAGCAGCATGCTCAGCGATTCAGCAAAAAAAATATGACAGATAGAATCTCAATCATATCGACTAAGATTGATTCCTTTTTAAAAGTGGAAATATTTGAGTAAGCTGGAAATACGAACCAGAAAACCCTTACTGACGTGTTTCGCGAGACGGGAAACGTTTCACTGAATCACGAGAAACGTCAACGCTCCATTTACTGAAAACCGCAGAATTGGCTGCTTTCCAGTAACCCCCTCGATGGAATTCGAAGAAAAGAATATCACAAAAAACGTTACAACAGAAAGAGAAAAAGAAAACTGTTTTTATGACACAATTTCAAAACGCCGTCGCAAACCAATTCATTTACTGATGCACTCGAAGGAGCCGTTTCCATTCTGAAAAGTACAATAAGTTCAGACCAGTACTGAACTCATTCCTCTCTCGGGAATGTAAATACTGTAGAATAAAAATAAAAAAATTGCGGGTGGAACACTTTTAGAGCCGATTGCGTAGGCAAAATAATCTGTTGATCAATTTACTCGCCAGGCGCAACAACGACCAAAAATTTATCCCGAGAATAGCAGCGAGAACGTTTCCTAAAATTTACGACATTCTAAACGCCATGTGTATCAACCTTCAACAATTGCATACGAATCCAAAAGAACTGATATCATCGAACACATTTTTTTGTAAAATTAAATTGAATTTTACAAATACATTCAGAAAACATTGAGGCGAATCTGGACAAGAAAAGCTTTCAATGATTGCGAGGTTCTGCCATCGTACATGACTTTTGGATCGGAAATCAATTTTCTGAAATATGAAGTACAATATCCTGGTTAATGCCCGCCAATATTCAATTTCAAATACACTAAAATCGTATTACAACGAAACCATTGCGACCAGTAGAATAGCTTCGTTATAGCGAAATATTCGTTATACAAAAATTCATTTCACATCGCGGCTAATGGGCATGCAAATAAAAATTTGCTTTGCTATAAGCGATAATTCGCTAGAACGAGGTTCGTTGTAACACGATTCTACCGCACAATATTTGAAATAAATTAATTAGCCGATAAAAACGTATTCAATGATGACTTGGGTAGTAATTCACGTTTGAACGAGATTTACGAGCTGAAATAACCCGGAAAATTAAATAATCTGCGGGAAATTAAGCATTTCAAATCAAAATTACAGTACTGTATATACTACGCTTTGCCTCGTTTTAATAAGTAAATCGTCCAGCGTTTTTCAAAGTCCGGATAATCAGAGTTCAACTGTAATTCTAGAACCAAAGCATAATCTCCCCTCTTCATCAACGAAACAAATACGTGATGTCAGAATTGATTAATTCATACAACCACCGCGTGTCACGGAAGACCCATTTATTCCATTATTTCCCAGAATTCTTCGTCGTTGCTCCCCTCGTTTTCCCCTCCCCATACAAGTCGTTCAGAGAACCCCACTGTAATGTGAGTGCACCGTTGCCATTCGCGAACGAAAAATACTGTAGTTCCAGGCCACTTCTTTTTTTTCTCTGTGTGTGCTTTATTTATTCCTAAACGCATGAATAAAAGACGCTCTCGCATCACGCGCACGCAATATGCGGGTCAGACGACAGCGACGTGCGCCGCCTCGTGAACCACAGCGGGGGCGCCCGAAGTAGTGGAGGGAGCTCGACGTCGACGCGATCCCATCTAAGGAGGAACCCGGGTCAAAGTTTAATGCGACACATGCCGAGCTTGGGATTCCCTGGTGATGGGAGGTGATTCGTAAAATAGTTTGGCCCTATTTTCTGTTGTGGATGTTAATCTCATATACTAAAGTCAAAGGATCTCTTGTTCGACTTTTGGTAAGCGAGCCATTTATTGGTGGTACTGTACTGTACATATTATCGAAATCTCGGCATTTTTCCCCCGTTAACCTGTGCATAATTTAGAGTTTCAATAAATTACTTTTTTCACCCAGAGATGAAGGTTGAGGAAAACCTGACGAGTGAGGGATTTTAATATTCCCAAAGTGTCCTGAAAATGTCTAAATTAAATACTGCACATGCGTAAAATATTTTTAAAAAGTTTTACATGCGTCAGTTCATTCTGATTCCGATCAAATTTTTTGACATTTACCCACATTCCGTTTTCAACGTCTTTAATTCGGAAAAAGCTGTCACTGCAATTGCTCGATTCGCGTTTTTTTCCTCAAGATGATTGAAAGAATGCATTCAATATTTTTGTCCCTAAAATATATCTACAAATTGCCGCCCTTCATGCAGTTGAATTCGATTCGCAAATCCAAAAAATAACGCCCTCAGTCAATATAAACAAGTGTTTTTTTTTTGCACTGGTAGCGAATGGTGCGTCTGAGTATTATGCTGAGAAGAAAAACAAATACTGGCACCTGTGGAAGGTTGAATAGCTCCATAATATAAATCATGAAATGGATTGATTTTGAGAAATTAATTTAAACCAAAATTATTCTTCGTCGAAGCTGCCAGAGGGAAGCTATAGCAACGTTATGTACATATCTATCGACCCATCGAAGGGAGAAAATGTGGGGTTTTTTCACTTTCAGTGGCTCTTTTGGCTTTTATTTATGACTGTCGAAGTGTCGATACAGTTAAAGAATACGGTAGAGTCAAGTCAAATGTAAGATTTTTCATTTTTAGTTCAGATTCTTTTGATATTTATGCATCAAATTTTTATTTGTGAGTTGGGTACAGCTTAACCACAATTGTATCTCATCTTCCCCGATTTGTCGCGAAAAATTGTTTTCATCCTGCTCAAATACAAGCTGTATTGGGTTTGAGATCACACAAATTTTCCTCATTTTCTTTCGTAAAAGCAGTGGCACATTCAGAGGTTCAAGATTTATAAAAAAAAAGGGGAGAATAGTTTGTTCAGCAATGTTACAGGTTACATTAACTTGATTGCTGCCATTGCAGGAAGAGCTTCAAATGGTGTAAAATATTGTAATCTTCTTCCACAAAGAAGTTCCTGGTACATTTCAGTCTTTGGGGCACTTGTCTTTATTTAATCTGCATAATCATCAGGTACGTCACGCATTTTATAAAGTGTATTTCTGGAGGTTGACTGAGGAATCAGATTGTGCTGAATTGGTACAGCATATACAGCATTCTTTGATTTTTTTTAGACTGGAATAATATTCAGAATGTACCTCCAAGGTGTGCAACTGCAAGGGATAAATCTCTGCAAGAAATAAATGTTACGGGCAACCCTTCCTGCTCGACTTGCAAATGGCTCGGCAGAGAAGTGGGTGCGGCGAAAATTTTTGCGCAACCTGCGTGGGCGACTAACTTGCAGTTTTAAAGCCATTGCAGATTCTTCAAGGTTTTTATACGGCATTCATTTGCTTATTTTTATAATTAAATTTTTAGAGAGCGTTTCGGGGGCAGGATGATGAATTTCTGAATTCATTTGAATTTTATAGTTATTTATCCGCTGAAAGTTTGTACATTCAAGTACCATATTTGTTACATCACTGAACAGATAATGGTTTGGATTCATTATATAAGATAATATTTCCGTAGCCCACAAGGGTGTGGGGAAATTGCCTCTTATGGAGAATAAAAATTCAATTAATCAGTAAATTCATTTAAAAATTAAAACAGTACTGCATACCGAAGAAGAAAACTAAAAAGGCTTCAAACGAGACACATTGACTGTTGATCGAAAAAGACAAAATAAGGGACTTCGGAAACCGCATATACTTCTGAAAAACAAAAATGTTTCAAAACGCTTGCACAGGGAGGTATGCTGAAATTATACCGTTTTTTAAAAAGCGCAGCGAAAAAATAAATACGAGCCCGACATGTACCGCACATCGCGAAAAAATCCGTCAAATTAAAGCAATGAAGCAATCATGAAAAAATTTTGTTTCGCAACCGAGATCTGAACTTGGACGCATTTTAGGAATCATGTTGTCTTTATTTGAAGGTTTACATTACATTAGCTCATTAGTTTCGATAATGTCTTAAATTATACTTTGACGGATAGAATAAGACGCCTTCAATTCGCATTCACAATTCTCGCGAAATTGCAGAAAACATTTTAAAATCAAGAATAATGTTTCTTGACGGAAAATAAAGTTTAACCCAGCATAAGCTGAAGCTTATGTCCGTTCGAATTTGTTTGG